TATATATATATATATATATATATATATATATATATATACACAGTATATATGACTTGTTAGTTAATGCTTATCCATTAAAAGTCTGAGATGTTGAATGGACAGTTAAAGCATTCAGCAAAAAACTTCCCATCTTTGCAACAGCAGGTAAAGTAATTAACCCAGATACAAGTAGTTCTGCTTAGCAGTTCATAATGCAGGTATTCCTAATAATGCAAGCTTTTCAGCAGTATGGTTAGAGAGAACGTAATTAACAGACATACAGAGGGAATACAACTATATTAGATACTGGATGAGTGGTCCGTTGGGATGGTTTGTTCTTGTTCTTTCAGTCTCTTTTCCTGCTCTCAAACACATACAAACACAATCTTACATCCCCCAATATGTTTCTTCGCTGATTTGTCCTTTTTTCATTTTTAACCACCCTTTTTGCTTTTTTTTTCTTCTTCTTTCCTGCCTCAGGACATCCTCTAACTGCTGTGATGACTTCATTTTCTAGGCTGAGGGAAGCTTCTTTATTAGCCCATCTTAATGGTTCTTTATGATGGCCTAGATACAGCAGAAAGGCTCCACAATGTGTCGCCTCTGAGACTGTATTTCACATAACTTACTGTCTGACAAGTTCACAAATGGTTAATTGAAAGGGTGCATAGACAAAGCACCCTTTTCATGAAAAATAACTCATTCAAACACATATCACTCATTGCACAACTTTGTTTTAGCCAAAGCCTCTTTTTTTTTTTTTGGTCTTTGACCCAAACTACACACTATACATTTTGTTAAGAAACAAATAAGTACCTGCTCACGTCTGAATGCAGTCGGGTACATATTTGACTTCCTTTTCCTTTCCTTTCATTTCCGTCCCTTTTTCCCACAAACATTCATTATGTCTTTGGCTGACATTCAGGGTCGCACTCTGTTATACAAGATGCAGAGAACAGTATTTCACTTAAAGATTGGGTTGCAAGGTCCAGCTCCTGTAACAAATATGGCATCAAGTTTTTTGACCTGACTTTGGTGGCATTTTCCTATTTTGTGGAACAGGCAAACTTTTCTTTTGATTGTTAATTTTATCTAGTTTTTAATTATATACATGAACAAAAAAACTCAGTATGTACAGTTGTAGCTAAACATAATGTAGCCCGGTATGTACCAGATACAACACCCAATACATACCGGGATACCAAGATATTTGGTAAAAACCAAAATGACACTAAGGAGTTAATTTGGCTTGTTAAACGTTTAATTTGGCTTGTTAAACGTTTAATTTGGCTTGTTAAACGTGAACTTGCTACGAATTTTGTTAGATAGACGTTTGCTACGTATCAGGTTATAACTGGTAGTTAATGAGTTTGTACATGTACATATACTTGGAAGGTCCTGAAATCAAATGCGGTACTTTCAAGATTTGTACTTGGTATATACCTAATGCATAGACTTACCTTGGCAAGTGTGTTGAAGTATATTTATAGAACAATGTTGTTGATGTGATTGAAGAAATACTAATGTATTTCTAAAGAGCTAAAGACAGTTAAATCATAGCACACTAGTCCTAATGAACATTAAAAAAAACATAAAAATATTATCTTTTTTTAGGGCAGCACGGTGGCGCAACTGGTAGAGCTGCTGCCTCTCAGCGATCAGGTCCTTGGTTCAAACCCGGGTCCAGGGGCCTTTCTGGGTGGAGTTTGCATGTTCTCTCCGTGCATGCGTGGGTTTTCTCCGGGTACTCCGGTTTCCTCCCACAGACCAAAAACATGCATGTTAGGCTGATTGGTAACTCTAAATTGCCCCTAGGTGTGAGTGAGAGAGTGAATGGTTGTTTGTCTCGTTTGTCTCTATGTGGCCCTG